CGCTGCAGGCTGATGCATTGCGGTGGATCGAGGCTGGATTGGACATCAAGGATCGCAAGACTGGCGCAAGCGAGCACAAGAAATTGTTTTCCCTTTGTTATCATTCAAGTAAGTTGTGAGTTTACACCTACACTTTTATGTTGTTGCTGTTTTTTGGGGGGGGAGTTAGTATTGTATTGGTTCATGTTTGAATATTAGTTTAACCTAAGCTATATAAAAACAAATGCTATGTTTGAGTTGTGGTGGCTGATAATATATTTGATATTTGTATTTGGTTTTTCTTTTTGGTAATTTACTATTTTATAAATATGGTTGCTTGGATATGGTGTTTACCTATGTTTTGGTTCGTTTGTTTTCAGTTTCAATCATGACCTTTCAATCTGAGGTTTCAGACTATGGTGATGCGATTTGGAACCTGATCAATTCGATAGGTAGCCAACAATTCAGAATTCTAAGAGTTGCTTGGGCAGCTCCTGGGTCATGATGTTCAGAGATTGTTCATCATAAAAACAATTGGGATAAGAAAAAAACAACTCAACATAAATCAAATCATAAAACAAAAGCCAATAAGCTTTTGGTTAGTATTAAAACCATATATATGTTATATAAGTTCAATTGTAATTATGTAAATATATTGACACTAATGATAATCTAAATATTATATATATATATTCTATTATATCATATACATTTGAATATTTTGTATATGTATATATTATTGTTTTAGCTTGATACATATACTATTATTAGTTTATTGTTATATATATATTACATTTTTTCTAACATATTATTGCTTTTGCATATATATTTCTTTACATAGATTACAAGGATTTTTTTGATATTACTGTGGTATATTGTAGTGTTAGTGTTGCATATGCATATGTATAGAATGTGTACACATCAACTGTACATGAATGTGTGTACACAAAACCTGGCTTTGTATATCCATTTTGCTAACAAAACCATATTTTGTGAGCATGCATACAAGTACAGTGTACATGTACACTTGTGGCTCACTACTGTGTACGATAGTGTACACATATATGCCTTTTAAATGTACATGTGCATTGTACATGTACAAATGTATACAAAAATAGGTTTTGTTAGCAAACTATGTCAACAAATAGGTATTTTGTATTTCCTTGTGCGTGTACAATGTACATATACAACCAACAACCATTTCTGTGTACAATGTACATGTACAAATGTACATCTCTAGTGCACACTGTACATGTTAATTGTACAAGTTAAGTGTAAATGTCTTTGTTGGCAAAATATGCTAACAAACCCCTATTACGTTAGCATTTTGTGTTGACAAAATAATGTACACTAAATATGTACATCGTGTACATACACTATGTACACTCTATGTACACTTTGTACACATTTCATTTATGCAGTGTACATGTGACACATACACTATTGACCTGAGATTTGTACAAACTATATATAAAACACGTACACTACATACATACATCATGTACACTCTATGCAAACACTATGTACAACGGCCATAAACAACTATGTACACTTTGCATGTACACTATGTGCATTATTGTGTGTACACTTTGTACATTTGACCTATACACCATGTACACTATATGAGGGTATAGTATACACAAGAAACATCCATTCATGATTCATAACATATACATTGTATATGTTCAATTGGTATATTGTGTGACCTTGTATTTTTTTTGAGTGATGAGGCCGTTTTGGTTCTAGAGTATACAGTTTCCCTCATCTTTGAGTTGCAATCTATCGCTTCACTTGATCTCATAGAGGTGAGCGCCAGGAATGTCGGTGATTTCTGAGCAGTCTCGCAAGCGCAAGCGTGAGCCCTGTGAAGAACATGAGCGTGAGCTACAGCCACCTGAACTACAGGTTGCCAATATCAGGAAGTGTCGCTACTGTGGTGTCTGGAGCAACTCAACGTGTCCTTGGGAGCTCACAGGTACAGTGCTTTCTTCCTGGCATCCACATCTTCCTTGGGCACGTGGCCGTTTTGGTAAGGTGACTGGTGATCGTTGCAAGCCATGTCAAATTGCATCCTGATGGATTGATTGATGATAGTTGTTTTTTGTTTTTGTTTTATCAACGTTTTATTTTATATACATTGTATACTCTACTAGCGTTCTTTCATTTAGTGAATGTCATATGCTGAGGTTTGGGAACAGGGTGGATTTGAAGCATCATATGGCACAGAGGACAAGTTTCAACGCCAGCTTGCAGAAAATCCATCCAAGCTTCATGAATTCCTGGTGTCTTGCTTGATATTTGTTGACGCTTGATTTTGCAATGATTTTTAACCATTGATTCATATCTGAGAATTGCCAGACTATAGTTGTAGTGAAACAATGTTTCAACACTTGAATAAATAGCTAATTTTGTGTCTATTGACACTTGAGTATTGTATGATAGGCATTCAGTCACAAGCCAAGGCAGTGAGGTCCAAATTGATCAAGCTCAAGATTTCTGGTTTCGAACCAATTTCACGTCTGAGAGAAGCCTGCCACCTAGACCAGTAGTGGCCAAACAATGACTCAAAGGAAGCTGACCACTCCTGGGATGACTGAGATGAATATATACAAATTGAAAACCAATGGACTTACACATTTAAGTTTACATGATCTTGGTTTTTTAGAATGTTTTAAGTTTAATTCACACAAAGCAGTACAATGTTGTTTTGCAATACAAAAATCGGATCGGATGAACCCTTGAGCTTCTCCATGGTGGCTGCAGCAAGTTCAACTTCATCACATGGGTGACTCTCTGCGTGTAGCATTTTCTCAATGAGGTTTGCATCCTTTTTCATAGCCGGACTGGATGAGTCTGCTGTGCACAGTGCATGTACAAACATTGCAGTGATCTCCAATGCAGCCTTGTTGGCTGGTGAGAATGAAGACTCCTGGACCAATGCTTGACAGAATGAGGCATACATAGAAAGAGAATAACTTATGTATGTATGTATGTATGTATAGCAATAACTTAAACAAAAAATACAATAAGGCCATAAATCATAATGTCCAATCATAATGGCCAACGTGTTAGTTAAGTTAATTATTATGTCTATAACTTGAGGCTATGATAATGATATATGATATATGTATATAGCACAACAAAAACATAAACTCAAACAACCACCAAACATAACTACTAATGTTCACACTTTCATTCAAACTTTCAAACCACAATGTCCTTTGTCTTGAACTTCTGGGTCGCTGTGCGAAGAAGCTTTTGCATAACTTGAGAGCACATCATAGAATAGAAGGCCACGGAATCAGAATCATCACCTGGGTCCTTGATGTACCTTTTATCAATGACGTCTCGAGTGGGGCCAACCAAGTTTGACCAGTTCGCCTGTGCAAAGTCAGTGTTGACCAAAGCCTTGAGAGCACGCTTCATCACACTGCCATTGAAAGAGCAACCATTTGTCTCTGCCTGGTCAATGTACTGGAGCAGCGTCGTGGTGGAATCAATTTGTGCAGTGCCAATGAGACCTCAGCAAGTGATGACTGATGACTAAACTTATATCTAAGAATCTAATATAACATCATAAATCATAAGTGACTTGAGTCTAGAGTCTAGAGTCTAAAGTAGTCTAAAGTAATAGTAGTAGTACACATTTTGCAAACCTTAATCTACCTTCTCATACCTCAGAGAAAAGAAACAAAAGCTTACACTTTCAATTTCAATTCCAAGATGCATTTGGTCAGCTGCTGCAAATTCTGCATCTTGGCACCAACATCATCCAGAGCGCTGTACAAGGGATCTTCTTCCTTGAGAGCACGGCGATCGAACCAATTCTACTCGCCAAGTCCATCAGATGTTGCTTGAATGCTGCATCGGCCAAAGGTGGTTTGATCACCTGGTACTCATGCATCTTAGTCTCATAGGTATGAAGTATGGCTTTGTCAGCATCACAAAGACCAGATGCACAGCCGGTCTCCAGGCTCAAGTTCAAGTCCTCCGCGCCAGAGGTCTTGCCTTTCTTCCTCATGCTGCCAATGTTAACCTTGATGGAATCATCCTTCTGATCATGAGGCTGCGGCTTTCTGGTAGTTGAATCTTGAAATTGCGGAACTGCTGGCGGCACCCTGGAAGGTTTGCTCACTACCTTTGGAGCTGCCTTGGCCTTTGCCTTGGTCTTTGGCAAAGTCTTTGGAACAGTCTGTTCACCAGTTCTTCCTCGAGAAGCCTTGGTGGAATCACCTGTTGAGTATTGCTTCAGCAGCTGGGGCAGACCCACTGGCGCTTCATCCTCAGACTGGGATTCATCCGCAACTTCCTCAATGGTTGGGCCTGCTTCACCAGTAGATGCTGCAGAACCAACACCTGCGAGTGGAATTTGAAACCAACAATATATCTATCATTGCATTCATCTATGCAGGAAGCTGGAAACTAATTATGTATATATAACTTACAAACTTACAAATAGAATGAATCACACAATTACTGTTGTTTGAACAATCACACTTACATATGAAATAGTAACAGTCTAAATTCAACAGTTTAGATTTAGATACTAAAGTTTGATTCCAGACTCACTATATTTGGCATTACAGACACACTACTATAATATATATATATACCCTTACATGTACCGACTCTAGACTCTAAACAAAACAACTTGTTGCCCACACTGAATGCCTGTTTCAGAATGAAGCTCAATTGTCCTTGGGGCAGAGGATGTCTGAGGTGTGTGCAATGGCTGTGGCAGATCCAAAGCAATTGCCTCAGAAAACAAATGCAACAATGACATATATATATATATATGTATATCATGATTCATTATATGATTGATGGTTTGCTTCTATAACTTCAACACATCACATACCAAAATGGTTTAATTCAACAACTAACTACAAGGGATAACATGATTATATACCCAGATACCTTAGTATAAGAACAAACAGCAACATTGATTTCTACTATAACTATTGTATTTTTTATTAATACAAACAATACTACACCTAGTACACCAGAACCATCTAACTGTGTCAAGAGACCTTCGGTCGGTTGAGCACATTTGCCCGAGCAGCAGCATGCATCATTCCAGCCACATCTCGATTTGGATCGATGGTAACGTCATCTGTGAGTTGTGCTTCACGGATGACAGACTTGAAGTTGCGGCCAATGCGTTTCAACCAGCCTGCTTTGCCAGTGCGCACATTCACCTCAGAAGTGTTGCAAGAAATTCACCATGTGACAATTAATTGTGTATTTCATTAAATGTTTCACCAACCAATGTCCAACAATGATGTTCAATATAGTCGTTTCAAAAAACAAAACACAACATTTACTATATAGTCTCATACCAAGACACTCCAGGTTTGATAATACCGGATCCAGGAACCACCTCCTCATAGACAATGTCATTGGGGTCAGCCTTCCCATAGCTGGCCTCATAGACTTCTAGCTCAACAAACCATTCGTCAGGCTGTTCAAGTCCAACCTCACCAACCACAGATGTACTGACACGCTCTCTGGTGCAACCATGACTTTCAAGTCGAAATCTCATGTTCGGCGATGATTTGGAGACCCACATCAATGCGGTGTTCAATGAAACAATCACGCCTGACAATCTTGCTGAGATGTGTCTTGTTTTGAGTGCAATGTTGATGTCGATGTTTTATTTCACCTCAACAGAAATGAAATAAGCTATGAGTCTTTGAGTTATCAGTTACCAGATATGAGACATGAGATGTAGAAAGAATTATACTCAGCTCATGAAAGTTTAATGGTTTTGAACTGATTCATTTGGATTGTTTCTGAAATCATGTTTGTTATTGTTAATGACCATGACAAGATTCTACAACTAATCTTAATAGGTATCACTCAGTGCATCACTCAGGGCGGAGCGGATTGTATCTGTGCATGAGCAGTGGGCGTCTCTGCAACCAAAGAAGTTGGCCAAGGAGGCTCTTCAGGCGAAGCAAGGATTGATCATGGGAGCAACCCAACTGGTCATTGCAAATGGATGGATTCACGAGGCATCTCAAGCTGTTTTCAGTTTGTTTTTTTTAGTTTAAATTTTAGATCATCTTGGATTATGCATTTTGCAGGTACTATATATATTATATAGTTATATATATGATATATAAGCTATATAAAAATAGAACATTTTAAGACAAAAACTAAGACTATAATTGTCAGACTAGATTCGATAGATGGCTATCATAAATTGCATAAACTAATAGTTTAATCATAGTAAGCTTTGCATGTTTGTTTAAAAAATATATAATGTTTGATTCCCTCAGGTTAGGCCTTGGATTCAAGCTGCCTTGGACAGCTTATCCACATCTGATTATTTCGATCCTCCAGAGATGGAGAAGTGGGTCCTTCCAAAGCACATGGCGTCCATTGATGGATACAAGTCTGCCAAAGCCATGTTTGATTGCCTGGGCACCATTTACAAGGTGGTCAAAGGTCTATCGGAAGGCAAGGATGCACTGGTACCATTGCACCAGGCTCTTCTCACTGCATCAGGAGCACTCAACACATTTCAGGCCAGGCCACTACTTTAGAGTTTTTATTTATAGAGACATCTTGCTCTGCTCTGGTAAGTTGTATCTAGAATCGTTGAGGGTTCCAAGTCGAAACCTCAGACCTGCCTAGAAAAATATCATAAGAACTTCTGATTCAATTCACATACCCTCAGGCTGGTGTGCTGAACAAGCTGCCAGATGGCCAGAAGGAGGTAGTTGATAAGTTCAACAAAACCATGGAGCAGCTGGAGAAGTTCTTGCAGACCATGGATAAAATCAAGATCAATGCAATCCTCTTCCGGGTAGAGACTCATCTATCGCTGGTGATCAAGGCTGTCTTTTGTCTTATCGCACCTGACTTAGTCCAGGGTGATACTTCCATTGATTTGGAAAAGGTCCGCCAAGCATCAGAAGCTCTGGGGCATATCAGTGCTTGCCTACCACCCAACCATGGTGATCGAGACATCTTGCTGCACGTTGCGGAGTTTGCACCAGTGCTATGCACAGCGAGTGTCTGGTTGTGTGAGGACTAGATTGACTAGATTTTGATTTCTTTGTTTTTGTTGTTGCGTTTAAAATCTTATGTGTTTTTTGATTCTCTGAAGTTGAACGTTTACAACTCAGCATTTACATGAAGTGAAAATAGTCAGCCTTTCATAAAGGTCAAATGGAATACTATTGATTCGATATTGATCTATATCATATATAGAGTCTAGAGTCTAGAGTCAGAGTCTAAACTCTAGACTTCAAAACCAATCAGCTCAGGTGTCTTTGAGAAATCCAATGAGTTGAGTGTGACAAGCCACTTTGCACAATGCAACCAATTGAGCCAGTTTGAGAACGAGGTGATCCTTGCAATCGGAGCCATGATAGGGGCAAAGGGACCTGTAGTGATTAGTGACTTCGCCCAAAAGCTTCTGGTCTTCACGAAGAAGATCTGTGACACTGCTACAGAGAAGATTGTGTCACATGGACGAACGAAGGCCGGCTTAGGAAGTGATTTGTTTTGCTGCTTAATATGGAAATAAAATCAGACTAAACTCAAAAGTAAGTTTCTATATTAATGTTGGATGCTGATTAGTAAATGGGCCCGCTATAATGCTAAATTTTTCCAAAATTATTCCAGACCCCATGTTTGAAAAATGGTTCCTGAATAATGCTAACTTTTGGGGGGGGGCCTAAATTTTCAATTTGGAAACCCAATTAATAAGGGTTTGAATTCCTTCTGAGGCCAATGATTATGATTCATTAGCTGATATAGCTTTCTCTAGGTTTCTTCAAAACTGACAGCTGACCAAAACCACCAATTCCCCAATTA